GCCATGTAATGGTAGGTGGCACTTCCAAACGTGATGTTAGCCTTTAATTTTCCGACGATGTCGATCTTCTCTCCGGACACAATCTGGAGAAAAACGCAGGGTGGCATCAAGATGAGTTTACCTTGCATTTGTTGAGCTATGAATATTATTGAATGTTGGTAGCATTGGCTCCTGTATCGATGGGAATATTGCAAGGAAATTCATTTAACTTTTTTATGATGAAAAGTCTATTACTGCCGCCACTCATTGCAGAAACCTGAAGCTCTTTAAACTGGAGTTTTTCATTATCTGGCAACCTCCTCCCCGCGAGCTAATCACTAATTACTTTCCGTCCTTCTTGCTGGGAGCGGACTTAAGGCCCGTGTTTTGAGGTGTTCTCGAGTTCCTTCGTATGCGTTTTTCAGCACTGCAGTTCCAACATTTTAGTGCTAGTTTCTTGTCACTCCTATTCTGTCTCAAGTCATTTGCTCGTATGGATAAATTGTGTAAACGAGCAGTCACTTGATCCAATGGCTCTCGGACTTCACTAGCTCTGATTAAGTGGCAGTGCCTACGAGTTGCTTGCTAGACTGCTTCGAATTACATGGCGGACGGTACAGCACTTTTTAAATCCTTGACATCCGCCAGTCGCTGAGCTGTCTGTATTTTAGGATCCTGGGTGTCCTCGATAAAGTACTGCAGAAACAGTATTTCCCTTGTTTCAGCAGGGCATTCCGAAAATGCGGGATGAGACAGCTTTTCAACATCCGTCGCAAATTCCTGAAATGCTAGTATGGGCTTCTGTTGACGGGATTTTAAATGAAGCCTGTTATAATCCTTTAAACACTGATTCCCAAAACGGAGCTCCAGGGAGCCAAGTTGAGCTTCGAAGGCTAACTTCTGTTTTCTGCGAGAGTGTGAAGGATATCCACTGGGTCTACTATCAGAGAAGCTCCGAAATCGCTGATCGCAGGTCTTAGCTTGGGAATCCAGTACATTCACGTCCGTGAGTACAGAAAATTGTGTATTATACACTTGCTAAGAGTTGTTCCATCGTATGTGGATAGCTCCAGAGAGGGTCAAGAAAGCATGTGAGTAAATACTCGAAACCATCAGAATTGCATCCTATGCATCAGAATTGCTGTCGCTATGCATTTCTTTAAGGTGTCAACTTCTTTGGAGACAGCAGCAATAAGCCTGTCTTCAATTTCACGTTCGAGTTGTTCTTGGACGACAGAAACTTTTTTTTTAAATTTCTCCAACTCTGTTTTCGACCGTACCTATTCTGTCTTCCGTAGCTTCAAATTTTCTTTCTATTACGACAGTAGTTTTTCTTTTCATTTCCTTTTGGCGTGCTTCAATCCTTTTTTGACCAGCATTCATCTCTTCTTGGCTCGCTTCCATCTCTGCTTTGACGGAAAAAAGTAAAAGGTTTGCATTAAAAGACGAAGCCGTAGAACAGTGCAAGTAAGAACCAGAAGAAGCACCTAAAAGAGCATTTGTGAAGATTTTATCCTTGTGTTGGATGGAAGATCACCATATTTTACCAAAAGCTACGAGTGTAGCTAAAAGGAGGTTAAAGTCTCTCATGAAGACTTTACAAAACGAAGGACTGGTGGAAATTTACAAAAGCTTCTTAAAAATAGATTGATGAACAGATAACCGAAGAAGTAAAACCCAGTGATTAGAAGAAATAAATTGCCATTATTTCCCGCACAGAAAAGTTATCAAAATAGTTCTGTATCTGTCCAGTCTTACAAACTTCTTCTAAAAGAGAAGAACATTGTCTCTTTAAATGACTATCTGGCCAAGGGATCTAAATACACAGAATTAATTCCTAGGATTTTGACTAAATTTCGCTTTTATGAGGACGGCGTAGTAGCCGACATTTTTGCAGCGTTTTTGCAGGTAGAAATAAAAGTTGAAAATCGCAACTTTCTCGATTCTTACGGTGGGAGGACGGTGATCCTAACAATAAGAAAGATTTTAGTAATCGACGAATAGTTTTAGATTGAATTCGAGCCCACTGTTTTAAGAAATTACTTTGAATTATCACTTATTCAGTGTTCCAGGCCATCTGCAGGCAGCAGCACCTAAATTTTTAGAAGTCCATGTATGTAGATAAATGTATCACAAGTTTAAGCCCAAAGAAGAACTGATGAATTCTATCAAGCAGTCAAAAGAAGTTATGCTTTTAGCTTGTTTTGATCTACGAAGGTGGATCTATAACTATATACAATATAGACTTCTCAAATTGGGCATTGGAAATTGGTACATTTGATATTTCAGAAGTTTTACGTGATGGTGTTGTTTCTGTTTTAGGTTTAAACTGCGATGCTTCAGATGTCCTGCTTTGTAATGCAAAATGTATTGACTAAAATAATGAAAATTTAACTAAAAGAATCATTTTGTCTTTAGCAAGTCAACTGTTTGATCCAACTGGATTCCCATGTTCTATAACTTTAATTCCAATAATTGTAATGCAAGAGTATTGGCGGAGAAAATTATCATGGGAATTCATAAAGAAATTCATGAAGTTGGAAAGATAATTAAAATTTGTTGAAGATGTGAGAATTCCTAGAACAAATTTTGAACTGAGAATTTTGAATCAGAAACTGATTTATCATATCACGTATTTTGTGATGTTTCTCTATATATTTTTTGCAGATTACAAAGCGGTTCCAGTGAGAAATGTCTATTGATACAATTAAATTAGAGCCCTGAGTAAATGAAATTAGAGCCCTGAGTGGTTAGAGACGCATGGAATCACGTCCACATACTCTCGAATCCGACAGACCTCCTCTCTTGCCGTTGTAAATGTTCTATCTATGTCTTACTGGTGGGAGGGACCTCCAATATAAAAATACCGATGCGTGAATGTCCTAAATAAAGGGAAATACCGGGCATGGAAATAGTGAATTCAGAAAAACGGAAATCAGTTATTTCTACATTAAATACGCAAAAAGTAGAAATTTTTTATCAAACATACTTATCTTACGATAAAATGTTAAGTATACCAACTCGGATACGTAGATTCATCAATAATTGCAGAACTCCAGATTCTAAACAGTTAGGAGAACCCACTGTTCCTAAAATAAAAATCGCAGAAAAGAAAATAATTATTAAATTTTGCAAATCTTGATTCGTATTCTTTCCTGTAACTATAGAATTTTCTTTTCGTTTCTTTTATTTTTAATTTATTTTGATTTTATTTTAATGTTTTTTATTCATTCTCTCTCTTACTCACTATTATTTTTATTATTATTATCATCATCATCATCTAAACTTATCTCGTCTTACGGTACGGGGTTTTATTTAAACGCAAATAACTGATATTAAATTTAAGAAGCTTTTAAGGAAGTAAACAAGTTTGGTATTAATTTTAGCTATGTTATCAATAAGAAATTTTGGTTTATTGGTGACTGTGTTCTACTTTTCTTCCATTCTGTAGGTTTTAAATTGTAAACTTATTTTCATTGTTCTTTGTACTACGTTCTTTCTCTAATTGTAACTTACTATCATTTTATGATTTACTGTTCATTCCAACTTAAGCGCAGCGCTTTTTTAATTTAGACCTGTAGGGGTTACGTTAATTAATAAACAATTTGGCTTAATTTTAGATTAATTTTCCTCTGTAATTGTGTAACAGTGTTCTTCGTACATTGTAACATGAAAAGTGTGAAGAGACGAAGCTGTGCTAAAAAATAAGATGACAGGGTAAGTTACATATTTAACATTGGGGTAAATGGCTATGTCACTAAAATGGTGAAGCTATTCATAAACGCTCCTCTCACTAAATTACTAACTTGGCGCTATCTCACTAATTTGTTGAGATAGTGCCAAGCTGGCGATGGTTTTGCCGACTAGTTTTTTGCCAAATTTCTCCAGAAATCGGCAAGCGTTGCGACCATTTGGTGGCATCTCGGTCAGTCTCCTGTGAAACTATAATTGGTATTATAATTGAATAAGTGTAATTGATCCCTATATGTAACTGTAACTGTCTCCTGCCCTCATGTACCTTTCAGTAATTTTGAGAAATGGAAGGCATTAGAGATTACTCGGTGGCTGAGGGATAACTATATAAGACCGGGAAGAATATTCAGTTTCTCAGTTCTTTAGTTGAGAGTAGATTTCGGAGTATCGGGATATCTCCGTGTGAGCTTTGCTCTTTAGATACTCTTTACTCTTTGCATCGCGTCTTGTTTAATTTTCTTAGTAGTTTGAAGTGTAACTACTGAATGTACTTTGTGATACTGGGAAGAGCTGTACGAATATTTCTGTGAAAGTTACAGAACTGAAAAGTGTTTAAAAATGTATCAAATTATCATCGGTTCTGTGTGCATTCAATTGTTGGTTGTATATTTGTTGCTTAAACAGGCTATTTTTTCATTCCTCGAGACACCAACCTTCTGAGAAAGATGTCCAAAACTGTAAGTTATGTCTGCTTTAATTTTTATTCTAATCTATGTTTACAAAATTTTGATTTACCATAAAATTTTAATTAAAAAATGGTTATGGTTTTCACTAATGTTAATTAGGTTGTAGAGCCGTTAAGCTTATTTCGGAAGCAGAAGAGATGAAAAATATGCAACGGCTTCGCCGGTAATCGAAACGCGGACCTCTAGAATTCGTGCCCAGCGTGCAGACCACCACACCACGAAGGTATGCGACGAAGGCGGGAGAAATACCTTATAAGGTATAGTGTTTTTCCGCTACTTTTTGCAATTTTGCAGAAGAATTTTTCTACTACTTCGTTTCTACTTTGCCGGACTTAATATAATATTTAAATATGCTTTGCTTAATAATATATGTATATAATATTAAACAAAGCAAATTTAATTACATATATATATAATATACTTGATAACTTAAATACTTTTTTGAGTGAGCTTGATTCTTCCTCTAAGTAAATTAAATCCATGCTTGATGGAGGAAAGATTAAAAAAAAAAAAAAAAAGAAATTATTGCGCAGCATATTATCATAAATACAAAGCAAAACTTATTGTATATGAACAAGTAAGAAATATTTTAGTAATTTTATTGCTCCATATTTAAAAAGCAAGAAATGTTCAGGCTTTTTTCTGTGTTAAATTGTGTACAATATTAAGATAAAATTTCGTTCTGGAAAATAAATTTCAGGACTGCATCTGTAAAATGAAGAGGTTGATCTATGTGCACATCATGGGTAGCATCTTCTATTTCGACAAATTCAACTTTTAGAAAAAACTGCTTTATGTGATGCTTATCTGCTCCTCTGAAAAGAAAAAAGTATATTAGTATTGGTATATTGCCTCAGATAACTGACTGCAAACTTCATTTCCTTAACTACGTATTTTATACCTGTACTTTTATATACGGCTTTTCTAAAATAAGGCATGAAAGGTTTCAATACTCAGCGTGGGAGGATTTTGTAAATGTAAAGCGTAAATTTTTTGTTATCCCATAGAAAACGAATGGCAGTTAGTAAAGTATTCTTTATGTTTTAATAAATTACACACAAATAATTTTTCAAAGTTAGTCTTCTCAAAGAATTTGTCTATAAACCTTCCTAAACAAATTCTGGGAAAACTGTTTGTGTTGATATTAAAATATCTATGCCCTGCAGAGCGATACCACGTACGATTGTTGAATCACTATTGCATGACATTGGATGCGTCATTTATTTGTTGTGATATTCAAGGTGATTTAATCCTAATACAAAGGGACAGATTTTTCCTAACATTTTCTTTTCTCACCCACCACTGTTAAAGCTTGTGAAGTTTTCGCGAGAGTACCAAATGCAGAAGAACCTCTTGAACCTGAGAAAAAAATTAGATCTCTAATAAACACATCTTTTTATGCAAACATTGTGGGCTCTATATAAACATTAAAAGATTTTTTACCTATTTATACGAAACGGTACACAGTAGAAATGGGCATTTTCTTTACCTTTGAGAAAGTCTCAAAAGTTAGTTAGAAAATTAGTAGCTCGCCGTTATCGCACTTCTGAATCACATAATAGATCGGAAGCTGAAACCGCTGCATAAAGTGTTGACCTAAATGCACGTAATAATTTGCATAATATTGAGACATATTTTTCGTGGGGTAGCAGTCTTTTGTGAAGTACTTCCATATTTCAATGTATATGAAAGTTTCTGAGTACTGTTTCATCGGCAAGAGAAAATAGTAGAAGAAAATACTCGAGATGAGTGACATTTCGCAGTCAACAGTAAAAAAAAAAAGAAACAGTTAAATGTAAAATTAACTCATTTAAGCGAGAAAGCATTACTGATTGCAGCTTCGTTTAAACTCGGTGAAACGGGGCCGAAGCTTTGTTGCTTCGCTAAACGCAGTATAAATTGCAGTATTTTACGCAGTTAAAGTGCTTCTTCGAATGAAGATACATGGTGCTTGGGACAGGTTTCTCCATTGTTCCGACAAGAATGGAGTAGAAATTATATTACTCACGAGATTACTATACAGAAAAATTTCTAAGCTTCTACGAAATCTAAATTGAAGGCGAAGTAATGCAAGCAATATTTACCGTCTCCACAAATTGGATGATATGAATATTTTCTCAACAGCAGGATACTATTAAAGACTTTTTTACTGTATAATATAGCATATATCACTTATCCTCAATTCTAAAGGTACGTAGGTCTGTGCTATATATGCAAAATTACATTGAGAAAGAATTCCGATATTTCGTTCTATAAAATTGAGTCCCTTGAATGAAGTTCCAGTGTTCGTTCTTTCACTTACTATTGACTTTATTTTTAGGATTAAAAGAAACGAAAAAACCGTAATGTTCGAATTTAGAAAGGGAAGGTAGGCTTTAGGAGTGAATGAGAAGTAATATGGAAGTAAACTAATTTACCTTAAATTTAACTACTTAAATTTCATATAGGTAACGTCAGTGATGGTAGAAGAATAACCATGCAAAACAGGAACATCTTTCAAAATATGAAGTTCTTCTGCCAAAGTATCAAGACGGGAATATAAATGAATTTCACGAACACTGAAAGTGAGATATAAACGGCTACTATTTTTGGTTTATATGTATATACAATATACCAATATACGTATAATATAATGAGTACAGAGAGCGTGGGGGACAAGGAGATAGAAAAAGTTACTAGTACGAAACTGATGATCAAATTTCGTAACCAGAAGCTTCAAATATCAATTTTTTATTCCTTTTTTTTTTTTTAGGTAAATATACATTAATCTTACATGTCTGTTCTATTGTATTAAGATTATCATGAGTTCAGAAGGTTACTGTACCAATTTTAAGGTGTTTCTTTTCAATGTAAATAGTCGTTATGATTACCAACTACCTGAATTACCCGACGTTGCCCGGGCTTTATGCAACGTGAAAAGGCTTCATTTAGTCTTTTCGAAATCTCTGGTAGAAAGCGATTTTCCTTTTTGTTCAAGGTGAATTGTGCAGAATTTGAGCAACCTTGAAAAGAAAACTGTAGATGATATTTCGATAGAAAATAAAACGGTACATTTTTTGCAAAGCTTAAAGGTGCACAATGCCCAATCAAAAAAAAAAAAGCAAGCCACGTGCAATTAATCATGTGAAAAATATCCTATTTTTAAGTTACATAGCGCTTCCATGTTAATATACGCTACACAATACTCTTCTTGATAACCATTGCAAATGCAAGCTGAATGTGAAATTGCAAACGCTTGAAATCGAAGGGCAGGCTTTAGTCTCTGGGTATCAAAGAAATGCGAGGAATGAATACATCTTCAGCTGCGGCATGTCCCGTGATGATGGTATTCAGCAATAGGTTCTTCACTGTAAGCCTTGTTCCATTCCATAACCTTTTCTGGTTAATGTTACATAATGATATAATAGCAGATCCTTCAATTAAAGTGAGTTTGTATGCTGTTTTTCTTAAGTCTCAAAACGCTGTCAGAAATTCTGTCGGGCAATGCCCAGCTTGCTTTGTATCCATTACCGAATCAATGAACGAAAAGACTACTATGTTGCCGGAAATATTTTCCTGGATAATCTTCTTACGCATTTAAGAATGAATTTCAAAAGTTGCGTTTTGCTTTGTTATCCTTTACGTCTTTTTTCGGATGTCAGTTTTCAGAAAATAACCATCAAGATTGATGGTTATTTTCTGAAAACTATTCGTGGAATTCGTGGAATATTTTGAAAGGTATGGATGCGAAATTATGAGAGAGTGAAATTTCGTGCCCAAGGGATGAGCGGAAAATGGATACATCGCACATTTAAATTCTACACTATTCTAAAGAGTAAACGAAAGCTGCGCCATCTAAAGATTTTAGTAGGAACTAATAGCGGGCACTCAAAAAACGGCACCGTGAACCTAAGATGAATGACATGATTTCAAAATTGAGGCTATGTAGAAATATTAATACTTATTTTTTGTAAAAAAAGTTCATGCAGTAATTTTGTAAAACAAAAAAACATTAAACATTTTGTAAAACAAGCAGCATGTTAAGAATTCCTTGCTTAACATGCATGACTTTTATTGATTGCGGGAGCGCAACAACGGGACAGCGAACTTACGATTAGTGATGTGTAAGTAAGATGGATGTCCTGAGTGCAACGTTATAATTTAAACTCCCTGAGTGTGCGTGTCTTTGGGTTTTTAAAATCTTATGCAGACAGTGATCTTCCTATTTTTCTTTTCTTTCCTTTGAAGTGTGCAAAATTTCATTAAGATCGGAATAAAACTGTAGATTCGTATCAATGACATACGCAAAAAGAAACGGACACTTTTCACTATTTAATGACAGACAGACAAAATAAACAGATGTCTTGTCTAGCACGCAGGCTTCGGTGCGAAGGAAAGGTATGTAAACAGTAGCAGTGTCGTATTTGAGAAGAAGAAAAGAGAATTCCGTACTTTTTCATATGAATTTAGAAAATTAATTGATAATTAACAAAATAAAATGTCACCTATCGGTTAACATGCCCGTGAGTGCAATGAAGAGTGGGAAATCTATGTGTCTTCAATTATATAGTCTCTTAGGAAAGGGCTGGAAGTATGTGCTTTATTAAACAAATATACTAACTTATTGGAAAAATTTATTAATAAGATGGTATTTGCGATACGTCGTTTCATACTTTTCAGCACTCCTGAATATCGGAGAGGAAGATGAAGTTGAAAAAAACTCTGATCAGGAAAGTATGCGTAATGGAGAAAATTAGTGTGCGTTATCTTTGCGTAATGCATACAAAAACCTCAAAAACACTCAAGCATCAAGCCTCTTCGCTGAGATTCAAACTCGAGTCCACTCAAGTTGTTTAGGCTTCCTATGCACTCGATCACTATTGTGCTAAGATGTTGAGAGTATTAAAGATAAAATAAATATTAATAAAGCGATTCACTCGAATTATTTTTCTGCTATCGTGTACTATTCCAGCATAAGTACTTGAGTCTCTGCAATATAAACTTCAAAATTTAATTCCTGAACTGTCGTTGTATTTTCTATAATGGCATGCCCATTCGAATCTTCTAACTGCGTCGAAAAAAAAACAGTAATAAAAATTTGTCAAACTGGTTTTTGTTCATAAATTTATAACTTGCTATTCGGAAAAATAACTAACACATAAATTTCTAAAAATAAGAAAGTCTATTAATATCAAGAAATTCTTTAGCCTTTATTTAAAGAAGAAAGGACCATTAAACAATATTACTTCGTTGTTCTTGTAATCTTCTATTTTCTCAGATATATTTTTATATTCGCACAATACAAAAAAAAGATGATGATATATTTGAATATTAGATTATTATAACTTTTTGCGAATAACAATTCACTTTTAATCGCTCTGCTGCATTCTTTCAAAACACTTCCAAGAAAATTAATATATTATTTTTCGTTTGATGAATCAAACTAGAAATACTTACACTAAAAAAGGTGATAATGCGCCATAAATAAAGCAGGCTGGTCCATGATAAAGACCACTAGGATCTTCCATCACCGTATCAGCATTTCTCATTGCTTTCTCCAATATTTTTAGGTTAGATTTGACACGATAGCGACCATCTGGGTTGAGTTTCAGGTCACCAGCCAGCCGGCTATTAGCTTTTATCTTCTCTAATGCTGGCTAGCAAATAAATTTCAGAACAGTGAGATATGTTGTATTTTCTATAATCTTGAAGTATAAAGTTCAGAATAACATAAACATGCAATAAAATTAGTAATATATCTTAATATTTCAGAAATAAATTTATCTATTTATTGAAAACAATGATATAATATTGCAACGAATTTATTTCACAAATACAGATATAATATGAAAAGTTAACGCTTCAAGCTTCATTTCGCAACGCTGAAAAGTTTTCAGTTTCCAAAATAATTAGTAGAGGCATTAATATTCTAAGTGACAATAGTATCAGAGAAAGAAAAAAAAAACTTATTGTGCACTAGACTACACAAATACTTCAACAATTGTTTAGACACATTTCTAGGTCAAATAGTTTGTAAAAGCAGCAGCTTACTTCATCCGGCATCTTACAAAATACTGAACTGGCCATGCTGAACCGGATGATGTGCCACTGATCTTCCGATTCCGAGCTCCCCCACTTAACTCTTTGTAATTTTGTTTCCTTTTAAGGAGGTTTTTATGTGAAAGATACATTTTTCGTTCTACCATTTCCACAGCAGTTAAAAAAGAGACTAGACGAAAGATTGATCAGCTTAACACTGCCACAGATGTAAGAAAAACTAGGCTATCACATAAATGACAGTCGTGTTCAAAAGGTTGTCACATTAAACATCTGCCAATATCTGTAGAAAAGTGGAGAGTTATATTGTCATATAATATATCTGTATTTATGAACTAAATTCATTATAGCAATCATAGATATGTTTCCTTTTTGTACAATTTTTTCCGAACTACCTCGCACTTTGGAACAATACTAATTTAATAATTTACAAATTTTAATATCCAATGTTACCATGACTCCGTTATCTTTTTATTATCATGACGCCATTATCATTTTGTTTTCATAGCTCTGCACAGTTTTCAAATCGCGCTCTAAACTACTCCAATATATTTGAGATCGTTCCAGTAGCTGCGGCGGTACATTAATGTCTTTTTGCTGAATTTTTATCTTTTCTGTTATATTTTATGCTGTGAGTTCATTTGGAAAAATTTTGATTTTGAGTTAATTCTGAATACACGGTATATCAATAGGATTGCATTACTAAATAACTCTTCAATGTAATGGCGATCCGTACGAAGATGAATTAGAGTAATAGCAATCCACTTTTGAATGGAAGATTATCGGAGCATTCAATTATTGGAACTTTGGATTGTTCGAGCTTCTCGAGATACTGGAAAGTATGAGATGACATGGATTAACGTTACGGATATAATAATTTTCCAATTGATGTCTCTATTTGGCTATACAGAAGTCATGAATTCGGAGGTGATGTCATTGTACAATGTTATTTGATTAATATTTACATAACTTGATTTATTAATTAACATTTCATATTTAAATAATGGCTTGAAGCAGGAAATGTGGTTCTAAGTACCCATGCATAAATAATAAAAATTTTAATATGAGAAAGACATTACTTAAAATTTTTTCAACTTCTATAGCTGCGCGCATCGTTCTCAGAGTTTTCAAATGATATTGTCATATTTTTAGAGTTATAAAGTAATTAAGAGATTTGAAAGCAGAATTTATTCTAGTTGATCGAAACATTTTGAAAATCATCATTTGGGGATCTGGCTGTTGAAAGTTTAAATCTTCACATTCGTAACCCAATTTTCGTAAATTGAGGGTTTCATGTTTACTGCTCATCTCTTGGAATAATATCGTAAATATTCCTGAATTTAAAGCTCGGCTTTTAATAATATTAGCAGGTTTCACAGCTTGATTCAAAACGATTTTTATATTTTCGGGGATTATTTTGGCTACTAAAGCTTCATGATGAATGAAGCAGTGAGTAAATTTAGTTTCAGGTGCGGCATTCTTAATTTGAGGAATAACATCGCAATGTTTTCCTGTTAAAGCTCGAACTCTGTGACTGACAATGCACTGATTAAATTATGTTATATGACCTAGATGTGTACTTCAGAAAAATTATTTCGAAACAATATTTTTTATTAACTACAACAAATTCAATAAGTTTAAAGCAGCGTTTCTCAATCTTTTTTACTAACGCGTACCATCTAAACAAAAATTGAAAAACTTTAGTACCACCACTACATTTTACAATTATTAGTTAGCAATTTCTCAATATAAGTAAAAGAATGTATTTTGCTATTTGCAAAACCTATCGGCTATTTGTATTAAATATGTACACATAAAGAGATTAGATTAAAAATTGATTTCTATTTGAACTATCAAAATTTAAGTTACAATACTTTAATTCTAAAATTTAGTGTGAAATTTGGGCCTGCTTACAAGAGTCCAATTTCTTTATATGTTTGGTTTTATTTCACTTAGTTTAAACCTTAAATTAGGATCTACTTTTAATTTCGTTCTGTATTTATTTTTAAAATATAACATGAAAGAAAATTCCTGTTCACACAAATAGGTTGTTCAAATAAGCAATAAAAAATTAATAGCTTTATTTAAAATGTCCTTAAATTCTGTTTTCGATTCAGCCAAAAGTTAGCAAGTGTGTTATTTTTGAAATATTCAATTAAGATGCGATCACAGGAAATTTCAATCAACTGTTCGCTTTCTTCCCGAGATAAAATTTCAGGTACATTTGAACAAAATGGATTTTTAATCCAAATTTTCTTTTTCATAGTCCTCGGGAAAATACGTATTGAAACTATTTATCATTTAAAAACAATGTTTTTTAATGTGGGATGCTAATTCTTTTTTATTTTCAAATTATTTTCGGTTATAAAATTTTCTAAAAGTGCTTAAAAACTAAATAATTTTGCAATTCAAATTTTGAATCAGAGAGGAAAATTTGAGTTTCTGTCGAAGTACAAAAAGATGTTTTAGGACTTTGCTTACAGGTAACCAACCACCTTAATTCGGAATGTAACAAAAGCACTTCATGTTTACTGCTCATCTCTTGGAATAAAATCGTAAATATTCCTGAATTTAAAGCTCGGCTTTTAATAATATTAGTAGTTTTCAGCTTGATTCAAAACGATTTTTATATTTTCGGAGATTATTTTGGCTGCTAAAGCTTCATGATTAATGAAGCAGTGAGTAAATTTAGTTTCAGGTGCGGCATCCTTAATTTGAGAAATAACATCGAAATGTTTTCCTGTTAGAGCTCGAACTCTGACTGCACGGCTTTGCACTTATTCCAAAGAGTATCATTCTGAGACATAAAATTGCCAATTACTTTGAAATTTTCGTTTGTAGTTGCTCTATCATGAAGAGATTCATAAAATAAATACTCTTCGGCAATTCGTTTATCTTCTTCGAAAACGTATGTAAACTAATAACTAAACAAAGTTCGTTATATCAGTACTTTCATCCAACTGCATTGCGAAATACTCATTGTGTTTTATTTTTTGAATAAGTGGCTACTTTATTGAATTGGTCATTTTATGAATTCGTCGACTTAGTGTATCATTTGATAACGGAATGTTATTAAGTCCATTAGCTGCTTTATCGTTAAATAATGTTAGAACAATGTCTAGCTGCTAGTAATGTAAGGTTTTTCTCCAGTAGTGTGAGACTGCCCGGTTTTGGCAATTCTTAGGCTTACTAGGTAACTAGTTTCGAAAGCTTTTTATTTGAAGCAAAAAAAACTTTCATTACTTGTTAATATTTTTGAACTCCGATAATTTCCTCTTAAAATATTCTTCAGATTTGCCCTTTAAATTGGCATGGACAATAGTTCACTGCAAACAACACATACATTGAGTTTGAGTTTCTATCTCCTCTCCATTCCATGTAAACCCAAATGATAAATAACTTTCATTACATTTTCTATAAACAATTCCTCTTTTCTTTTCACTATTCTTATTGCTAGTAGATTGTTCTGGATCATTCACCTGTGAAGCATCACTTTTCTGCATAGTCAATCCTAGCCACTTTTCCGTTTTCAAAATCTAGATTTGTTTTATTATATTTTCACAAATATTTAAATGCACAATATAATTCAAAAACAAACGAAGATGTTCTCAAATCGCGTAGAAAAATAAAGAATGCAAAGCAGCAAGAAGGCAAAATACCTACTGTTCGAAACAGAAAATTGACGTAAAACATTTACTCTAATTTAAAACAGAGCAATATGAGCTCGAAAGCGTGGATCGTCATAAAGTGTAGGCATGCTAATAAATCGATCATCTCTAAAAGAATTAGTGAGATACATTATAATTTTATAGGAATTTATTTTTTCCATTAAATACAATATCTATTTCGATTAATACAATATCTATTTCTATCCATTTCTATTATCTATTTCTATTACTCATTTTATAAACATCATTTATGACAATTTTTTATGTCTATGGCTAAAAGAATGTTTGTGAAAATCAAAACGTATTATTTTGATAAAGTCTATGACGATTAGTGAGCAACTATTGACTTTAAACAAAGCTTAGATCACATAAATTTACGAGTGTTAGAGGAAACATTAAACAGGATGTTGGGTTATTCAATTTTTGAATTTCATAGTAGCAAAAGTACTTTGTTTCTTTTCGTACCACCTATTTTTCCCTTCCGTACCACTAGTGGTGCGCATACAACCGGCTAAGTATCGCTGTTGAAAGTAATGTGTAAGTAATTCAAAGACAGCAAATTTTTGGATGTTATTTGAAGGTGCTTCTTTCAGAAGTAGCGAATTCATCTACATACTCTTCAAGATGCTCTTCATTCAAGAGTCACCAAATATTCTTCAAGGCTATGCCATCATACAGTGCTTATGGAAAAATTTCATTCTAAACATTCCAAAATCAACGACGTCATAAATTTATTGAACGGAAGAAAAGAAATGACTTCATGCAGGATTGTGACAAAATAATAAAAAACGATTCAAAAATAATTGCTGAAATGAAGAACGTGCTTTTAATTCTTTTCACTGCTAAAGTAATGAGAGGACAATACCAGAAGCAAGATATTTGGGCTTGATCTGCTATTACTAAACCACTGGCTATTAACGAAGTGAATCAGC